CTCAAACCCTAACCCCTATTGTTCTCAAAAAACCCACTTTCCCCATAAATCCACTTCTCAAGCCATGCCTGTTATTAACCCATATTGTTCTTTGAATCCCCGACTTTCAGCGGGCGATCAGTTTTTGTTGCTCAGAACACGTTTTATTATAACTAAACCAATTATTGACCGTAACTTTCAGTACCGCGAAAGTTGCCACATAGATTAGGGCTTAGATGCCTAGCTTCGACACTCGGCCGGAGCCGAGTATTACCGGGTAGCCCAATACCCGGCCGGGGAGGGCGAATATTTGACTGGGTGCCCGTACATCCCTAATTTTTAGTAATTTTTTATTAAAACTGTAAATTTGTGTTTGCGTTTAAGCACACACACAACATATATTCTTTTAGTCTGTTGACTTTCATTGTAAAAGGTGATCCCCTACATATATGTTTTGCACCCCTTTTGAAAATATTTCTGTGGACTAGACTAGAGGAAACCTGATTTTTAGCATCTTAAGCCTGTCGACTTACCACTGGGGATCATTTATTTGATCGAATAATGGGATTTGGCTGCCACTCTTACAGCACACACATGTTCCCCAAATTGCGGTGTGCATATTTGCGGCATTAGGAAGTGAACCATGAACCCTCGGATTCACAACCTGAGCACGTTATGAATTAAATATACATAATATAATGCTTATAAATCATGAACTTTAGCTATTGAATCATATCTAATGCACCCAACAATATAAAATTCTTCAATTGGATTGTCTACCAAAAAATATGTTATGGCTTGAATTTTAGAAAATGTGTTGTTGTTTGTAATTAAGCACAAAGCTACACAATTTGTCCACCACGGGTATCGAAATCCGGATTCTAGCGTTGTGAGTCCGTAGACATACCACTCTACCACTGGGGGCCTGGGAAAAATGTGATTCCTTGTGTTAATTAAGAAAACACTGTTCCTATAGGTCTAGGATTTCTTTATTTTTATGTATTTAGGAATCTTAAACTATATTGGAGATATCTAGCAAAAGTTTAACAACAATATGCATAAATTTGCAACGTAATTTGCTGATTAATCTTCATCACAACATTAGTTCTTGTGCTTTAAGCACAACTTGTCTGGTGTTTATATATATATATATAAGAACAGTCTCCAGTGGCGTAGTGGCATGCTTTAGGGTTTATACCACGAAAAATTGGGGTTCAATATCCTTGATCGGCACAACGAAGATAGCCTATTTTTAGCTCTGGGCTCAAACACAAAACAATCTATCATCACACATGAACTACAGTGTACTTCATCATTCAACTTTTTGGCTGTTGTTAACTTCGTAGATCGGGCTAATATTATATAATAACTTAATGCATATAGATGGAGATCTGTAAAGGTACTTTAATGCGCAAATTAGTCCAAATACGAGCCACAACAGTAGCATTGAGATATGTACATTTTCTCCCCCTGTACTCCACTGATTCCAAAGTTTTAGGCAGTAGTTGTTTTCTTCTCAGAAAAAATGAATTGTTAACATGGACAAAACCAACAATACTTAGACTAACCATTATGGGTCTAAAGGTATCCCTACATTAAATATAGTTAATTTCAGATAACATGGAGTATATAACAAAAAAACAATACAAAAAAAAACACAAACAACAACAAAATCATATACATGAAAACAATTCACCTCTTGTACCACAGTACTATATTTCTTTACTGCAATGCCCCCCAGTGGCACAGCGGTATGTCTCCGGACTTATTACGCTAGAATCCGGGTTTCGATAACAATGGTGGACAGAGCACAGATAATTCTTTGTGTAGCTTTGTGTTTAAAAACAAACAAACAATCAACCTTTACTACATTATGTTCATGTAGGTTTCTCGACCTTTAATACTTATATTTTGGCCTCTCTTCTACTTGTATTGCTTTGATATATTTTTAAGCAGTGAAATACAGTATGAATATATTTATCTGTTGGTTTGAACATTTAAAACTGTTTTTTTTTTCATTATGGTAAATGATGACGAAATTCCGGTTTTTTATTTTTTCAGTAGTTTATTGATTTTTATTTTATGCACAGAAGCAACACTGTAAAAAAGTCAAAATATATTTATAATATACATGTACTTATTTTATAGTCAGAGCGATAAAATAGGCTAAGATGACTTTTTATAATCATCGTATTTGATGTGGAATTTAAAAAAAACTAATAACTTTTTCAGACAAAATGTAAACGTCAGCCATATTGTTTCTTTTGCTCCCATTAACTTGCAATCGGTGTTAAAATATTCATTTTTCTACATATTTCAATGAGATAGTACTTGAATACTTATTCTAATAATGTCTTTTAGAAATTGATTTTGCTTGTTCTCCTTAGAAGTATGCAAGATAATAGTTTATCAGATTGTGGCCAAATTCCTTTTGTAGTAAAATGTTTATATTTTTTAAGATAACAGATTTCAAGAGGTTGGCACAGTTCCATCTCAAACGGTTTCATAACGGCATTGTTTAATTGGCATATCTATAAGTACTTAACGCTGTTCAATTTTAAAAAGATCATTATTGATCAAAAGTCATGAGTTGTTTGAAATTTAAGCATGAATATGGTATTAAACGCCAAAAGCCGACAAAACATTGAAAATGATATACCTGATAATAATAGTGATAAACATTACACAAGACTACAGACATTTTTTTCGACTCTTCTCGAATTCTCTTTACACGCCTTTATTGTGAAACTGTAACTTGAATAGTTACAAGTTAGAGTTCGAGGCTTCCATCACATCTGCTTAATGACTTCCTGAAACAGCTGAGTGTGAGCGGTCAACGGTCAAGTAAAACCTTAAAAGTATTAATAGGAAAAGCCGGGAAACATCAAGCTGGAGTTGGGTGAAGAAGGACAACTAGCAGGATGAAGTGTGTAGAATAATTTAAAAAATCCTCTATAATTGTCTGGAAATCTTCTAATTGGTTAGAGCACTTGTTCCACCAATTCATAATAATCTATGTTACCATTTCAAAGGTCGGAGGTTCAAATTCTGGCTGCGTCACCGAAAAAAAAAAAAGCTACCAGCAAGGGAATGCCACGTTTGATTAACCTATTACGGCACTCCTTTCATAGAGCGTCAAGAATTAGCCGAAACGTTTGTCTGAGGTGGGTTCTCTTTTGAAGATTCCTTGCTAGTTAGCTCATTGTGAGTTTCTTATTACTAAGCTTCAAGTGCAAATAACTCTGTTATATTTTTCACATTGTTGCTTTACTTAAAGTGATGACTTTCAAAGTTGGTTTTGAATTTCGCACAAAGCCATCTAGGAGTTGCCATCCATAATTTAGAAATGACAAACTAGAGGGAAGGCAACTTGTCAACATCCCACACTTTGGGCTACTCTTTTACCAACGAATAGTGAGATTAACCGTCACATATAACATCCCTACAACTGAAAGGGCCAGCATGGGATTCGAAACTGAAAGCCTCATATTTCAAATCCATTGCCCTAACCAGATCATACCAGGTCTCAAGTGTAAATAACATGCGATAAGTTAAATGTTTTAGTAAACGCCACCACCTATGATCTTCATCATCAGACAACTATTTTTCGCAATTATACTGTTTAAACTCGTATAAGTTATTAAACTTTTCAATGAAACACAAACTTATAATGGATACTTTTATCAGTTTTTCTTGAACTTGCTATAAAGGACATTTAGTACAGAATTAAGTGACAATAACCGACGTATATTGTTTCTTTTTCTAATAACTAGATAATGTTTTTTAATCAAGTGATAGATTCTTATGGAAAACCACCCAGTTCTATATTTCGTGGTGCTACAATATGGCCTGGAAACTATCGTCAATGTTTGGAAATTACTGCACCTGTAGGAAAACTATCTCAGATGAAGAAAAAAATAGACCAGCCAGATTCAGACCAACTATTGCCAGGAGGTTTTAATGGTCGGTACTGCATGTCAAGATGGAAATTAAATCTTGAAAAAAATGTGAGTTAAAACACAATTTTTAATGTACCCGTTTTATCAAAAAACATAAGTGCAAATTTGGTATTGTCAAAGTTTGTAGATTTAATGTTACTTTATTAGTAATATTTGTTACAGAGTTTAATATTTTAATTCTTATTATTTAAAATTTCTTGTTATTATGTCTTACTATAAAGATTTTTATGAGTTGTTAACTTAGTATATGGATTTAGGACTAGCCTGTATCTCCTAAGCTGGGCCAAACCTTATGAGATATTATTGGGATTATTGCCGAAAATATTGCTAACAGCAAGGATTACCAACTGATGAAACAATGCTTTATAATATTTACAAGTAAGAACTTAAGAACAGTACATTTAATTGTCTATGCCCACTATCGGGTTGATTTTTAGTTATGAACCGTATGGGAAGCTCACTTCCACCAGAATTTAATATTAATTAAAAACTGAAATTTCCATTTGTTGCCCCCTCCCCACCCGATGGCTCAGTGGTATATCTGAGGGCTTATAATGCTAAAATTTGGGTTTTGATACCTGCAGCTGGCAGAGAACAAATAGCCTATTATGTAGTTTTGTGTTCAACAACAACCAAACAAAAAGATACTTTTGCTGGATTTGAATATTTTAATCTAAAGAATACACGTTTCGAAGATTGTGTAGAAGTCACCAATAAAATAAAACAACGTATCGAAAAACAAAAAACACCCGACGAGACAGAAGTATGAATTATGAAAAACAGTTCCGAAATATGTCAACAATGTATGGGAAAAGCTTGCTTTGTAAATTAACTCTTGTTTTGCAAAAACACTAGCCACTATTTTTTTTTTCAAGAGAGAGATTATTATAACCTAATATTTTTCTAGTATTATAACTGGCGTTTATACTAGCTACCGCATTATTAAGGGGAGTCTCATATTTTCACCTGTTCTTACGTAAGTTTTGCTTGATACTCCCGTATGTTCGCAGTGTAATTGGTATACAATTTTGCCAATGTAAGTGTCATTACAGCCACTACATGTGTATTTATATACGATCCTGGAACGCAAAGGGGTAAGTAATAGATCTTTAGATTGGAATAAATATTGTATTTTGAAAGGTGATCTAAATATCATTTGTAGTTGAACTTGTGACTAAAACGTTTTAATTATTCTTAAAATTTGTCTTAATGGGTATTTATCAACAGTGTATGGATTATTTGGGGGTACATTAACCCTCAGTTAGTTAAAGGAAGAGTTTGTTTATTTTAGAATTTTCAGGAAAGTTACACAAAGACTGTCTGTGTATAGCCGTCTCAAATTTTGAACTGAATTTGTTTGTTTGTTTACTTGCTTTTATGATTATAAATAATATAAAGCAAATTTACCTATTGACCCTACTTATGTTAAATATATAAAAAAAGAATTTCTTATTAGTAGCATTCTTAAAAATAAAGAACAAATGGTTAATATGAAAATAAACAAAACACGAAAACATAGACCAAAACAAGCGTAATAACAAAATGATAATTCAGAGTGAGCTTTATGACTCCTAAGGTATCCCCAAAAGAAATCAAACTGATTTCATGCATTACAGAACATAAAAAAGAAAAAAAATCATGTAAAAAAATATATTACATTCATAGTACTATATCGTTTTGCCTCACTACGTTCACATTAGCTCCTGTATTTCATTTCCTTTTCAACTTGCATTTCTTAAATATTTTGATATTTCATGAAGTACTGTATGAAGGTGGTTTC